ACAAGCTAATTTTATTATTTACAGATTTATGGGCACACATATCTGTGGATAGAATTTCTGAAGTTGGCAGAGATTTGGACTTGTGGTTAGAACCAGTTTGAAATCACTCATCCTTGAGCATGCAGCGAGCTTCACAGGGAGGCTGAGCTGGGAATGGCAGTTCTTGGAAGAATTAGAGACTAGTAACTAGTCTCTGAAACTGAAACAGCTCTCTGTATAACTTAGAACAACTGGACATGAACCAGGCAATCTCTCCAGCAGAAGGTTCTGTGGTAGTGTTAACACAATGGAAAGCATTTAAAAATGTTATTTACCTGGATTAATGCCTCCATTGCTAATCAAGTCTTGATTGCCTTCTATTCATTAGCCTTTGATTTAATTAATAAGACTTGTTAAAGAGGAATCTTCAATGTTTTCCTGTAAACAGCTCTAATTTATTGATTCAATTTGAATTTCGTAATTATTCTAAAGAACTTAAATCAATGTTTGAAGTATGTGTTTTGCATACTTAATTAAACAGTTTAAACCACACAAAGTAATTATTAGATATGCTCCAAAGTTTGAACATTAGAATATTTGTAATTATTTTTTCAAAAGATACCTTTTCTGAAAGTTGAGCCAGTGACTTAATGTTTTTACTAAACTTTATGCTGAGGGATTCAGTAGTTGGTGAGTGTCTAGACATGTGGAGAAAAATGAAGAAAACAGAGAGTCGCAATAACTCTTAGGTTAAAGAACAATTTGATAATCAATATGATTCTTAATGGGAAACCAATTAAGCAGTTGAAAAAGAGGGAGACACTGATTAGCGGTCTGAGCTCAGATTATTAAAGATAGTGAGGGGTTTGAAACAGGTCTGTTGGGTGAAAAAGTTTAATTAACAAAGCATTCGTTAAATTCTAAAACCTTAAGGAAATGAAAATTTTCTACGTCTGCATGCATCAACAAAAGCAAAGAGACAGCACCTTTAATTTGAAAAAAGAAAATATTTATTTATTTGTTTGGCTGAACTCTCCAGCATGTGGGATCTCAGTTCCCCAACCAAGGATCGAACCCATGGCCCCTGCAGTGGAAGTGTGGAGTCTTAACTGATGGACTGCAAGGAAGTCTCAAAATAAATACTTAAACTCAAACATTGAGAGTTTGCAATTGACAGGAACATGCCAAGTAGATGACCAAGAAGGACCTACTGTTAAAAAAATTAAATGTGAAAGAAGATATTGAAATCTTTTAAGATATTTCTGAAATTTTTGAAGGCAATAATGTTTATATTTTATTCTTGAATTATCTTGCAAATGTAAGGAAAGAAATGTTAGTATATTAACATTATTAATATTCATTCAATCAGATATCTTGAGAGTATTCTGTATGTCAGGTGGTTTTAGGCATTGAGCATGCAACAGTTAACAAAACAGAAGAAAGTTCCTTTGCTCCTAAATCTAATAGTCTAGTATAAATTTTAAGGAATTTTTTAGTTTCACATAAAATCTCAGTGTCTTTAACTCCTGTGATTATCATAGCCTAAAGAAATTGATAGTTGGAGGTTTATCTCATGGAGCATTATGCTTCAGAATCAGGATTCCATTAACCCGGATCTTGTTCTTTTAGGCAGTTTATCATAGTATATATGTTCAAGATTTTTTTCACCTCAGAAATGATGCACACAGTCTATGAGATTGCTTAAAGGTGTTCCTTCTCTAGTTGCATTTAAAGTATCAATGCTGGTTCAGTTAAAGGTTCATCGCCTTTCAGTGTATTACAGGGGACTCATAGCTTCATGGTGTGAGTCTGTTTTAAGCATATGGCCTTCCAAAACCATAAATTCCCTATATTCCAGGATTCAGTTTGTGGTATATGTAAGCCAGCGATCTCAAGGGAGGTGGAAAAGCTTTGTGGGAAGAAGGTTGTGTGTGTGTATGTGTTTATGGGTGATGGGAGACTATCTGTAAATGAAAGGAGAATTCCAAGCAGTTCTTGGATTCAGTTCCCACCTCCTTAGGGAGCCAGTGATGAGCTCAGCTGGGCTGAGAAAATCTGTGCAGATGTCAATACTGACTGCATCCCAGCCTCAAGCCCCGCTGGAGGCCTCTCTCAACCATAAAGAGCAAAGTGGAGAGTGCAAGGTACAGTCAGTCTCCAGTTGAACCCCATATGAATATTAATATTTTACTTACACCTGGGTACCTAGAGCATAATCAGGATTAGAAAAGCATCATGGTGACATACTCAGGAGAGGAGAGTTGCAGAGCAGAAAAGTGCCAGGCCTGTCCTCGCAGCTGAAACACAGGGTAAAATAAACCAGCCCCCTGACTCAGAGGAGGCGGCACATTGTGGAGCCTTATAATCAGATGTCCTTTGATTACTGTAGCCAGGACTGTATTTGAACAGTCAGTTCGATGAGGGGTGCCATTAGGATAGCTGGGCAGTGAGAAATCCCTGACCTTTCAAATTCTGTGTCTGTGGCGGGATTTTTTTTTTTTTTTAATAAAAAATAAACCAGTTGGATGCAGTTTACAAGAAAGAGACTTTCAGATTCTTTATTTCACACTCAGGCACTGGATTCTCTGGGACGCATGGGCTCTCCTCTGCTGATTCCATAACCTCTAAAGATTTTTCTTTAGATGAAAAGCTGCTTTTCATCTGTCAAGTTGGCCATATCAGTGGTCGATAACATAGGATCTATCAGTAAAGGGGGAACCCAAGCTCCTGTTTGCTATAGGAAGTAGAAATTGGTACAACCTGTGTGTAGGATGATTTCTTAATGTTCTTCAAAGTTAGAATTTAGAAATGTACATTAAAAAAATGTATTTGGCTTCACTGGTTCTTAGTTGCAGCCTGTGGGATCTATTTCCCTGATCAGGAATGGAACTTGGGGCCCTTATGTTGGGAGTGCTGAGTCTTAACCACTGGACCTTCAAGGAAGTCCCCACATTATGTTTGGATTTTACACTTCTCCTCTTAGAAATTTGTCTTATAGATATATTTTTAGGTGGGTGAAATTATGTACAAGAATACTTACAGTATCATTGTTTCAGTGGCCCCAAATTGGGAACTTGTTAAATGCCTATCATTAGAGGATTGGGATTGGAGAAGGCAATGGCACCCCACTCCAGTCCTCTTGCCTGGAAAATCCCATGGACGGAGGAGCCTGGTGGGCTGCAGTCCGTGGGGTCACGAAGAGTCGGACACGACTGAGCGACTTCACTTTCACTTTTCACTTTCATGCATTGGAGAAGGAAATGGCAACCCACTCCAGTGTTCTTGCCTGGAGAATCCCAGGGATGGGGGAGACTGGTGGGCTGCCGTCTATGGGGTCGCACAGAGTCAGACACGACTGAAGCGACTTAGCAGCAGCAGCAGCAGCAGAGGATTGGGATTAAGTTAAGCATACTACACTTAGACAAAGGAACACCGTGTGGTTTTTTAAAAGCAAGAGACAATTTCTATGAGTTTATGAGGAAGAGATATTGAGAGATGAGAGATATTGAGAGATAAAAATAATATACACTGTACCCTGTATGGCATGTTACCATTTGTATATGTATCTGTCAAGTATACGTATCAAGCTAAGTTACCTGAGTTAAGTGGTGACCTCAGAGGCTGGGAGCTGGCTATGGCAGGGAGATTTACTTTTCATTACAGCTTTCTTGTAGCTTTTACATTTTAAATATGGGTTTATTTTACTTATTTTTTTAAGTATATTAGTATGAAGTATGTTGGTAAGCCTAGTCAAGGTAGAAAGTAGAACATTCAACTGGAAGACCAATATAAATTTTTAAAAAGTCTTTATTTTATTAACAGAATTGATTGTATGGAAAGTTACTTGCCTAGTGTAATCTTACTTTTAATTAGAGCTGATACACCTTTAGAATGTGTCTAGAAGAACCATCTGTTTTGTATGGGTCTTGTGTAATTTTGTAATAGTAAAATATTCTTAACTTTTATTGTGATGATATACTGCATTATTAAACATCATCAGACTAAATACAACTTTAGGAGACTCTAGTTTAAGAAAATGGCAAAAAAGGGAGGAATGGGTGGTATTGCTCGAGAGAAAGACAGAGAAAGAAGAGGGAGGAGAAAGAAGACAGTGTCAGTTTTCCGTCTTTGGGGACTGAATGACCTCAGCTTAAGACTGCAGGTGAAGTTGTAGTTTAGTCACTCGGTCGTGTCCGCCTCTCTGTGACCCCGTGGACTGTAGCCTGCCAGGCTCCTCTGTCCATGGGATTCTCCAGGCAAGAATACTGGAGTGGGTTGCCATTTCCTTCTCCAGGGGATCTTCCTGACCTAACCTGTGGCCTCCAGCGTGGCTGGCAGATTCTTTACCACTAAGCCACCTGGGAAGCCCTAAAGACATTTGATCCTAAGACACAAAGGAGCTATTGGAGAAACAAAGGGAGAGTGTTAATTCTGAGTACTTAATTTTTAATTAATCTGAATAATTGATCAAACACAGTGTTTTTTTTTTTTTTATTAAGCACTAGGTTCATTTTGGAAGGAACATTGAGTGAATCACAGAAAACTTGAGTTAAATCTTGGACTATACAAGTGTGAATATTTAAAATGTGAATATTTGAAGTGTGAATGTTTATGATGATGATACTGGGTTCCCAGCCTTACTGAAGTTAATCTTGTTGTGGTGGCATAATTGAGTCACTGACAGTTTTAGTGCAAGTCCATAAAATACAAATTGTAATGAAGACAATTAGAATAGTGTGTACCGAGTCCCTTTAGTCATTTCTGACTCTGTGCGACCCTACGGATTGTAGCCCGCCAGGCTCCTCTGTCCGTGGGATTCTCCAGGCAAGAATACTGGGGTGGGTTGCCATCCCCTCCTCCAGGGGATCTTCCCGACCCAGGGATCAAACCCGCGTCTGTTACGTCTCCTGCATTGGCAGGTGGGTTCTTTACCACTAGCGCCACCTGGGAAGCCCAATTAGAACTGTAACAAGAACACATATTCACGGATTTCCTTCTCTTCTGTTTCTCCGTTTCTCCAGGGTGAATGGAAAGTTGGTAGCCCTGAAGGTGATCAGGCTGCAGGAAGAGGAAGGTACACCTTTTACAGCTATCAGGGAAGGTAGGCATTTTCCCTTGTTATCCTTGCTTTTGTATTTGTGTGATGCCCATAGCTGTTTAAATATTATACACCTCTGAATATGCTGTTTCTAATTTATATGGTTATATTTCTAATTGGAATGTGTAAACTGAAATTTAAAATCAGCACCTCTTACAATCACATCAAGTCATGTTAAATAAAACTACCCTGCTGAGTATTCAGCTGTAGGGGGAAAAAGTGCTATGTGTTGATGGGGAGACTATCACTAGCTGGCTGAGGGGTTTTATACATCTGATTTTGTTTGCAGAGTTCTTAAGGCACATATTAATCTAAACTTACTCTATACTCATGACTTTTAAGGAAATTTCTTAAAAATGGGGAAATTATGCTATCTTATTAGTCTTTTGTACTTTATCTTTCTTGATTTCTTTTTTCCTATTCTTTATTTTCTATTGGCTTCTTATTGATTTATAGATGCTCTTTATATATCAACATTATGTTGTAATATTTTGTTCCATTGTCATTTTTCTAGAAAGTATTCTTATTTTTTTAGATTAAAAAATATTTATGTTTGGCTGCACTGGACTGGGTCTTTGTTGCTGTGAGCTAGCTTTCTCTAGTTTTGCTAGCAGGAGGTATTCTCTTTTTGCCATGTGCAGGCTCAGTAGTTGTGGCCCACAGGCTTTGTTGTCTCATGGCTTGTGGGAGCTTCCAGGACCAGGGATCAGACCCACGTCCCTTGCATTGCAAGGTGGATTCTTAACCATTAGACCACCAGGGAAGTCCTAAAAAGTCTTTTAAACCATTATTTGTTACATATAATTTTTTATAAAATAAAATTGCCCTATTTTTGCTTTATACCTTCCTGCATAGTTTTCTACTTCAAGGGAATAAATCACCTGTTATTGGTGGGATCTTTTCAGTTCACTTGCAGAACTTTTACTTCTACTGCATGTTTTTAAAGTATAAATAATCTTGAAATAAGACTTTGGTTTATTTTTGCTTTGCAGGATCTATGAGTACTTGTCTGCTGATCCACAATAAGACAAATAATAATGATTTACTTCAATAGTATTATTAAGATATTGATTAACTAAATGCAGTCTGTCGCTGGTCTGATTTGTTTCCCTGACCAGGGATTGAACCTGGGCCACCGCAGTGAAAGCCCAGTATCCTAGCCACTAGGCCGCCAGGGAGCTCCAAAGAAGTCTACTTCCTGTTTTCACTTTCTCACCATTCATTCTCCTTTTCATCTCTCTTCAGTTTGGTTTCTGTCATTCCTGTTTAGCTGGAAATATTGTAAGGTTCATCAGAACTCCTTATTGTCACATTCAATAGACCCCTGTCTTATTATACCCAACCTTTTATCAGGTTGTACGTGGTTAAAACCTTCTCTTCTACGACACCAGATTTTCCAAGTAGGTAACTGTTTCTCTTTCTCTTGTGTTATCTTCTCTTTTAAGTGTTGTGGAGTTTTAGACAAGGAAAGGACCTCCTTTTCTCTAATCAGCACTCTTTCCCATGTGATTTTATTTGTTTCATGAGTTAAATAGCAACCATACTGTGATGACCCCACATACCTCTCTTCAGCTAAGATCCTGTCTTTGTTTCCATTCTCACATGTCCTTCTTCGTATGTGGCGCTTCCTCTTGAATACAGCAATGTGTAAACATGATAATATATATCACTGTCAGGTGAGATTTATTCCAGGAATAAAATACTTGTGTTCAGTGTGATGGAATTGGAAACCGCTGGCTGAGACAGAGCAGTGGGTTCCCATTGACCTGTGAGTTTTAATTATTGTAGCCTCTGGATGTTAGGAAGTAGGAGAGGACCAAGAGAGAAGCCTGAGGGAAGTGATTCTGGGCAGCAGGCATGCTCCTTGGCATGTGGGGCATGTGCTGGAATTAACCAGCTAAACCTTGCTGATGTCTTCCTAGATTCAAGGGTAAGAGGAAGCTCCTAGTGTTATCAGAAGATCCAGTTTTGACAGTTTGGTCCACCAGTGGGAAGCTCAAGAGAAGAAACAAGTAGGGTCATATTAAAGTTTTTGATGATCTGTCTGTTCATACCGGCTGGGTATGAGGCAGGCCTTTGGGCACGTGGTATACCTTGAGATAAGCTTAGAAGCTGGCCCTGGGCTGCGGTTGTGTCGTAGAATGAGGGTGTTGTAGTTGGGACCTGATCTGTGGCTTAGAGGGCCTCTGAAGACTTTTGAGCTGGGTTGATTAGGAGGATAAATCTGGTCTTAGGATATGATATAGATCAGAGGAGGAGGAAGCTGGAAGTGGATAAATCAGTCATTCAAAGCAGTGAAGATTTGAAATTAGGAGGACTCAGGTTTATTATAAAGCAGTGACAAACAATGATGTTGTAAGAAAAAAAGGTCAGGTCTAGGTGAATTATTGGTTATAGGTGATTTAAGAGGGAAATATCAATGGCTTTGAGTTTGAATGAGTTTAAAAAGAAAAATGGTGCCAGAGACAGAAATAGCTTGTGGTTGCGTGGAGAATTGCTTTTAACACCTTGCAATTTGAAAGGGCTCTTATCCAATTTAACCTTCCTTCACATTAGCCCTTTGAAATTGTTTTGGGAGGGGCAGATATAGAATTAATATTGTTGGTACAATTCATATTATTAATGTGGAATTAAGGCTTGGAGAGGTTAGGCGACTTGTCGAAGGACTTGAATCTTGTACTTAGACTTTCTTAGATTTAAAACACTGTCCATACTAACTTTGTGGAGCAGTTGATTGGGATTTTAGACATTGGGGTTTGAGTTCATGAGACATCTGTGTGAAAATCTCTCTCTGATGATTGGAAGTGTAGCTCCCAAGAGTTCAGCATAACCAGTGTACATTAACATGGCCCTTTACAAGTTGAACAAGTGGTAAGATTTTTATGGGAGAGAACTTTGAGTGAAAACAGAGGGTTAAGTTGCAGGACAGTGCCCTGAGCTGGAAAGCCTCATGTTAGAGTTTGCAAAGCTAGGTTTGAATCCTGGCTTTGTTTTCCATCACCATGCTAGTTTGCTAGGGCTGCCTTAACACAGACCGAGTGGCTGAAGCAACACCAATGCATCGTCTCGTGGTTCCAGAGGCTGGAATCTAAGGTCAAGGTGTCCGGGCGCTCCTCCTCCTGGTCCTGAGGGCAGGGCTTGTTTCAAGTCTTTCTTGGCTAATAGATGGCTGTCTTCTGCTTGTGTCTTCAAGGTATCTTCTCTCTGTACCTTTGTGCAAATGTGCTTTACTTAGAAGGACACCAGTCATATTGGATAAGGTTCTACTCTGGTGACCTCACTTTAACTTAATTACCTCTGAAAAAAATTCTGTTTCAAATACTGTCATAACCTGGGGTGCTAGGGTGTTGAGACTTCATATGTATTTGTGGGGGCACAATTCAATCCACAAGATCACCTAATGGCTTTAGGCCTCAGTAACTGAGCAGAAGGGGCTTTGGCAGTGGCTCAGCAGTAAGGAATCTGCCTGCAATCCAGGAAACACAGGAGACCCCAGTTCAATCCCTGGGTCAGAAAGATCTGCTGAAGGAGGAAATGGCAACCTACTTCAGTATGCTTGTCTGGAAAAAATCTTGTGGACAGAGGAGGGCTGGTGGGCTGCAGTCCATGGGGTTGCAAAGAGTCAGATATGACTCAGCGACTAAGCATGAAGCGCAGACCTGTTAGGCAGAACACAGGAGCTGGTTTGTGCCATTTCTCAGGCACCACCTACCTCTGCATTGTGGCTTTGATTTCCCAAGGAGTCCTTAAACTCAGAGTTTTGAATGCTCTGGAGATGAATGGTGTAAGAATTGTAGAGGCATGTAGAGCCTGATCACAGTGAGGCATTGTATTTTCCCTTTGAATAAAATATTTTAAGGTTTTCCTAATAAAATCTGACTTCCAAGTGATTTTTAATGGAGATAAATGACCTTATAAGAAAAATAATTAAACTCTAGGCAATTTTGGTTATTTGTTCCACTCTTGCCTTTTGTAAGTCTTATTTTTCTGCTGTTTATGTGTGGATGCAAGAGCAATCACCATGGCTCATTCCCTTTCGGGAAATCCATGCACATAACTCCTCTGTGTTTCCTGAGGTAGAACTTGGAATAGTTAGGAGGAAGGTGGTAGATGCTGGGGTTGTGTTCGTTTTGACATTGATGAGAGTTCTGTGCTGGCTTGTTCAGCCGAGAGGAAGCACTTTAACTTGAGTTTGTCCCTTTTCTGCTTTTTTGGTCAATTTCCTCATTCACAAAATGTCAATAGCAGAAAGATTTCAAATGAGGAAACCACTGTGCATTGTAAAGTAGTTTTCAAGTGGCTGCTTGCCAGTTATAAGCTTACCTGGGAATTTAGATGTTAACGCATAATTTCCACCTAAAGTGGAAACACTTGTAAGCAACCCTAATCTTACCTAGATTTATGTCCAAAGATGGACTTTGAATTTTATCTCATAGAGCTAGAGTGCTTAATAACTTTAATTCAGGTTCAGGTGCTTTGAAACTCATTCTGTCTTTGATGGGAGCTTAGAGAAATTAAGTAGCTGTGCTGAGGCCAGCTTTTCTATTTCATTTTAAAATCCCTGTATGATACTGTCATGAGTTTTGATTGTACTGATAAAGCATCAGGAGGTACAAGAAAGGTTTGAAAGGAAGTAGCTGAAATGTCTTAGGATACATTAAATGTAGCAGTCACAGAAAGGAAAAATAGTAAGTTCAGTCTTGATGTGCTAAGTGTGAGGTCTGACATTCACATGGCAGTTGTTTATATGGTTTACACATTAGGTAATAGGTCGGTTGTATGTAAATTGGAGACATTATTCAGCACTTCCTGAGTTATTTCATTTAATCTTTCACCATTGTGAGAGAAGGCGATGTTACTGTCTTTGTGTTAAGAAGTTTTTAAGAAGCTGGGATCTAGAGAGATTTTTGTCCAAAGTCACTCAAATACTTTGTGACAGATAGGGAGTTCAGCTTGGGTCTCCCTAGCCAGTGCCCAGAACAGTGCCTGACACGTGATAGCTG